TGCTGATTCTTGATAACCTATATACTCATACATATGCACTGGTGATTAAGGCTGCACAAGGTGATTAAGATGCAAGGTAATTAGGATGCCCAGACAAGCACTTTCATTATTATCACATATGTCACTATTCAGTGGATGGCTTAATTATTTAAATGCAAAGGGTTATCTTCTTCTAAATTTGTATGTGATGCTACAAACACATGTTCATATATCAACTCTTGCGTATTCTTTATCAATCCAATCTAACCTGTTTTTAAACATCTGAATTAATGAAAAACATTTAATGTTAGAAAGCCTGCAGCCTTCAAAATAGAGACTTTTTGTAGATGTCATAGAGTGTAGGATCATTTGTATAATGCAGAAAAAGCCAACTTTTTAAAAAAAGGAACTTGATTTGAATTATTTGAACGCTTATGTGCATACACCCATTTGTACACTATATATATGGGTGAACTGAATTTAACAGTCTAAGAAATGAAATGGAAAACCACCAAACGTGCACCAAAACACTTTTCAGAACATAGTCATTCTGGGGAAAAAAAACCACAACCTATTTTTGCAGTGACTTTGCATGAGAAAATTCTGATGACGAAGATAATTTTCAGAAAATTCTAAATACCTGAGCCCCCTTTTTTAAGTTAAATTGCTTTTTCAGCCAGAATTACAGTAAGAGTAAAAGCAAGGAACTGGAGTATTGACCTCTGTTTGACGCATTAAAATGATAAGAAACATTATCATGGAGAGGCACCTCCATTTACACCGAACAAAGATCCGCCTTTTCTTAGAAGGGATCTGCCCAAATTAAAACATGAGTACCAACACCAGCCAAAAAGCAGGACACGATCCCCCAGTTGTATACAACTTTCACAGCAGAGACTATTAGTTATGTTAGCCATTCCTTCGGTGACCTCAAATAGCATGAGGTTGTTATTGCTCTGTGTCCTGAACATCTGTACAATAAGACACCCGTCCCTAACTCATTAAACGTGGTCTGTTTTAATTTCCTCAGCGATTATCTGATTGGACTACACTTTTCAGGCCTAATCTTCAATCAGCATTGGTTAGTCTGACATTTCAGCAAAACAGAGCAGAGCAGGCAATGCAGCTGGTTAACTCCAAGGCAGATAGTTTTCAAAAGTTCAGACTTAATATGCAGCCAGTTCCTTGTTGCACAATGTTTACTTGACTTCTTGAAAAAGACCATTTTAATAGCATTACAATTACAAGACACTTACAGTTCACTCTCCCACACCAGATATTTGTCTTCTTTGAGTCATGTTGTCTTTTTTTTTTTTTAGCAAGCTCCCACCAGTCTGGTCTTTTCCATAAATCAACAAAAGCACTGGGTGAAAGTCTGCCCATGCTGTGCAAGACACAGTCATGGCAGTGTCATGTGGCTCTGCTGGGACACCACCCTCCCTCAAAGTGCCACAGATGTATGCCAGGGATACATGTATGGATACAGCTGCTAGAAATGGGTTTAAATACACTGAAGTACCTGACCCCTGTGTCCTAAGTGAAGTGGCTGCTTTTGTCAGAAGTTTGTGCAAGCAACAGCCATGTCTAGTGATGCAGCTTAACCTCTTGCTCAAGTTCAAAAAGCATCTTAACCCACCTTGTGTCCACACAGAAAATATCATTGATCACATAACACTCCAGCTCCCTCCATAAAATATTTATCTGGCACTTGACAGTCAACTCTTCAACTTAGGTTGTTAAAAAATAAAATTAGGAGCCCAGATTGAGAAGTTTCCTAATCATCTTCACAGGGAAGACAAGCTACCCTGCCCTCCCACCCTTAGAAACTCCCCACTCCACATACGGAAGTTTACTAGGTGGTTTTGCATCTTCTTATTTTAAAAAAGAAACAAAAAATTCCCCTAAAAGTTTATGCAATTCCTTTTTATACCCAAGAATGGCTTTCTGAGGAGAAGCCTGTTGCTCCTTCTTGCACCATGGTGTGCAATCCTAGCAACGGTGTGCAAGTCTGTAAGTGACTTGCTGATTTTAGAAACTTGTCAGAAAGCTTCCCTGGGCTCTCTGGCACCATCACATCACCATCATTGCCAAGAAGCAATACCCAAAACTCAGCTAAGGGGATGCAAATAGAGGGTGTGAATTTGGCCAAGGATGCTCAGAGGTAGCGGCTTGGAGTGGTGAGGAGACAGCTACAGTTAGGAGAACCTCAGAGGAAAGCTCTTCTGGTGCCTGTGCATCTTGCATCCATCAACAAGTTTGGCACGGTATGAAATACACCTTCAAAATCCCAACTTACTAGGAGGTAGAAAATAGCCTGCTTAACCTATAACCATCGGATGTGGATGCAGATGGAGCACAGATCAAGACACAACCCTTGTGGTGGACAGGCAGGTATAGGTGTGGGTCTGGCAGGAGCTGGGCAGCCTGGGGAAGCTGGTGTAGCAATACTGTTTTTCATGGCTTTTCTAATTTTTTTTACTGTTCTTAAACAATAAAGAGGGAATAAAGCCCCATGAGAATCTCTTTGCACAGCTACTAATTGCCTTGCCGCAGCCGCTTGGAGGCATTAATACTCACACAGCGCTTCCCAGCTATAAGACATCATACAAAGATTAATCCTAGCAACGGCATGGTGGGGCAAATCCAGGTAATCTTCATTTTGCAGATGGAAGGAGAGGTTAAAAGGAAACCATCAGTTTTAAAAACGCCTCCTTGGTCTGCAAAATATGGCATTATTATTGTTAGATTTAATGTCCTGCAATTACTATGCATCAAAAAGATTAAAGGGAAGAATATAGGGGTTTTCAAGAGTTCAGGCTATGTTTAATGATTTCTGTCTGTCAAAAAAAATGCATTCTCAAGTATGAATGTAATGTGCATGTATTATGCAAATAACACCATAATATGCGCACGCCAAATCGTAAGATTTCTGACTTCTATGGCTGGTACAGGTCACCTCCACACTACTCTAAGGAGCAAAGTCTCTGCCTCCACCAGCTCTGTGTGCCTTTGTTTCTGGCTGCAGGATGTTTGCAGCTCGATAGAGCCCATCACAGTGCCCAGAGGGACCCCTAAACTTGGATCACCTTCAGATCTTCCTGTCCTCCGTAGGAGATCCTGGAGCTGCAGCCCAGCTAGAGGTATGCAGGGGCTCCCAGAGGGGATAAGAATCATAGAATCATAGAATGGTCTGGGTTGGAAGGGACCTTAAAGACCATCTAGTTCCAACCCCTCTGCCATGGGCAGGGACACCTTGCACTAGACCAGGTTGCTCAAAGCCTCATCCAGCCTGGCCTTGAAGACAGCCAGGGATGAGGCATCCACAGCTTCTCTGGGCAACCTGTTTCAGTGCCTCATCACTCTCTCCATGAAGACCTTCTTCCTGATATCTAATCTAAATCTCCCCGCTTTCAATTTAAACCCATTCCCCCTTGTCCTGTCACTACAGGCCCTTATAATAAGTCCCCCCCCAGCTTCCTTGTAGCCCCTTCAGGTACTGGAAGGCTGCAGTAAGGTCTCCCCAGAGCCTTCTCTTCTCCAGGCTGAACAAGCCCAATAGCTACCAGTAAGAGGTAGCCCAGGGTCAGGTTCTCTTTCCCAGTATGCCCAAGGCTGGTCTAAATGTCATGCTTGCACCCAAGCAGCACACCAGCAGGTGGGACTGGGCATGTAGCAAGCACTGGGACCTGGGCTGGATGTGGTACCACCTTCTGCTGTGAGCACACTACTTTCGGAGCACTGAGCCCT